AACACTGTAGAGCCCAGGAATTATGCTGTTGATGGGGAAAATTTGCAGGCTATTCTCTTTATTAGAGGTAAACTTGATTCTGAACAGTAGGCTGAATTGTCTGAATGCTTGTTATTTTAAAATGTATATTTCTTATGTATTCACTATTTTCCAGACCAAAGCAAGGATAAACCAGGTTTTATCATGGTTTATCATGACACCATATCGATGTGATTAAAAGATTTTTTTGGCAAGAAGTGAACAAGGTTTCAGGGGAATTTTAGACCTTACAGAATTTTGCAACTATTTGGACTCCTCTATTTCTAATTCTGGAAAGTTTTAAAGTCCTTCAATCCCTTTACTGAGGCAACTCTATGTTATATATCACATTTCAGTAAGAAATTTAGAACTGAAAATCTTTTTACTTGCAGAATTCCTTTTATCCTTTTTTAAACTGTTTAAGGAAATATGGGAAGATTTCTAGTGTTATATGATATCGTTGAAAATAGCATGGAGATACTGGATGCAACAACTCTTTTCAGGAGGGAAGGGACAATACATGGCAGTCACTTTGATGTGAAAATGGAGCATCCAGCTGCAACAAAGATGAAGCTGAAGTGTTGAACTTGAATGATAGACAGGATAAACTTCCTAAAGCATGTGCTTCTCTGCTAAATGAATTCATTACATAAATTCAGCGATCTAGTACTTCTCAGCATTTTGTCTGAGGATATATTTGAAGAGCAATATCCCATATCATTGAAGCACAGTAAGAGCTACACATACCATTTGCTGCACAGAAGCTGAGAATCCACAGCAGTAACTGGTAGGCAGTCTACACATGGGGAAGGTGGGGCATGTGGTGCTGATATGTATTAGACATCTGCCTTGCATAATTCAGCAAACAATGTTTAAGGTAAGTTTGTATCACTAGTGACACTGACTCAAAACAAGGAATAATCTTAAGGAAGAAGGCTTATAAATACTGTTCTGCTAATAAAGCATGTAAACATATTATGTAAAATATTTTACATAAAAGCATTATTATAATATTTCACAGAGTATTTTACATATCTTTTCAATATGTAAAAATCTGTCATTATAAAACAATACCAAATAAAACAGTATCATTATATAATTATTACACAAAAGATATTCTAGCAACTACATGGTGGAGGGAATATCCCCCTTACGTGGTAAATTATTTGTAGAGTAATTTGATCAAAAATAGCACATTAACCATCTTCTAGAGCAAATTTCATTTTATCTAACAGTTTTTGGATTTATTTTGTTGTTGTTTTTTAGCATAGCAGTATATTTTTCTTTGAAAATATGAATTGTATTGTTGTAGGAGAGTTATTAAAACTAAGAATAATAACATTTTAGCGCTTGCAGCATAATTATAAATAAAAGTCAATAACAAGCAATAGTAATAAAAATGAAATTGTTTTTACTTGATACTGATTTATATTATATCAGACCTTTTTATTTCTTGTTAATAACTACTATTCCTATTAGTGTTTAATTGAAAAACAGTGTTTAAGAAATGACAATGCATTCTATTTTATGTTTTGGTCAAAATAAGTTAATGGTCGTCTATTAGAAATGATTATCTACTTACTCTAGCTGACCTCTAAGGAGATACTGCAGGAGGAATGGGGTTTAGGGAGAAGTGGAGCTGTATTTGGAGTATTTTTGGTTATGTCTGCTAGTCATCCAAGTGGAGATGTCTAAGGGTACTATAGGGTATTTATCACAATCTCATAAAAATGTGGATAGCTTTATCTCTTCCGGGAATGTTAGTCATTCTTTCGTCATTTTGAATTTGTTAGTGATCCATGAAGAATATGATTCATTAAGTGTGGAAATCTTTGGTAAATTTATATTCATCATAGTTTTATTATTTTTATGTATTCCAGAAACCAACCAACCTAATTTTAATTTATTCCTTGTAACAAATGAAAGTTTTTGAAGAGCATATGGACCTTATCAAATGTATAAAAAGTAAATTGTTCCCTTTGGATATGTGCATTCCATTAACATCTACTACTTGGTTATAATGCACTGTACTAGAAACTAAATGAACTGTTGAAGAAAATTCATTCCTGAATGTATACACTAAACAAATATTAAGTAACAACTATGTGCCCAGCCCTTATTTTCGGATCTAGGAAATCGCCACTGAACAAAATGGAAATCCTGACCTTTATGCGGCGTATACCAGTGGGGACATAGACTAAAAAACAGAACACATAAAATGGATAACTTGTTGGATGATGACAAGTGCTATGGAGAAAAATTAAGCTGACAAAGGTGATAGGGAGTATTAGGGGATTGCAGGTTTAAGTAAGGTTGTCTGCAGACAGTTATTGGAGCAGAAGATGCTTGAACCAAGACCTGAGGAGATGAAGGACTCAGCCTTTAGGCTATCTGTGGAAAGACTATTTAGGCAAAGGAACAACAAACAAGTACATGCGTAGACCTAGGTGGCAACATGCCTAGTGTGGTGAAAGAGCAGCAAGGAAGAAAAGTGGACCCAAAGAATCAACTAGTGAAAATCCAGGCGAGATGCTGGTAGATCACAGTATTATGGTAGCCGTGGAGATGATGAGAATTTGGGAGGTGGTGAGAAATCAGGATATGTTGACAGAGGTATATGGGGTATTAAAGAGAGAGAAATCAGGCTCGGGGCCTGTGGCTCAGCAGCTAGGGCTCCAGCCACATACACTGGAGCTGGCAGGTTCGAATCTAGCCCGGGCCTGCCAAACAACAACGACAACTACAACCAAAAAATAAAAATAGCCAGGTGTTGTGGCAGGCACTCATAGTCCCAGCTATTTAGGAAGCTGAGGCAAGAGAATTGCTTAAGCTCGAGAGTTTGAGGTTGCTGTAAGCTGTGATGCCACTGCACTCTACTGAGGGTGACAAGGTGAGACTCTGTCTCAAAAAAAAAAAAAAAAGGGAAATCAGGATTTTTGTTTTGCCAAGTGGAAGAATAGGGTCGCCATTAACTGAGATAGGGGGATACGGCAGGAGGAATGGAGTTTAGGGAAAAGTGGAGCTATATTTTGGGTTTGTTTGGGTATATCGGCTAGTCATCTAAGTGGAGTAGTCAAGCAGGCAGGTGGATATTGCATTTTGCAGCATTTTATGGAAAGGTTTGGCAGAAGAAATAAATATAAGCAAGTATGATATGTTGGTGAACTGTGCTGGAAAGTAAGAGAAAGAAAAAAGTGAAGAAAAGGCTTCAGGGAGGAAGAGAAATATAAGCTAGACCTTTGATTACTGTAAAAGAAAGAAAGGGGGATTCTAGTTAAGGAAAATATGCTAGAATCTTAAAATATCATCTAAAAATAAATCTGAGCGCTTTATTCGCTTGCCCCTTTTATTGTAAGACACTTTATTTTTACTTTTAAAAAATGGACATTAATATCAACATATGTACATCATTCAACTTAGTGAAAACAAAAAAATATGGACCGCTTCACAAATTTGCGTGTCATCCTTGTGCAGGGGCCATGCTAATCTTCTCTGTATTGTTCCAGTTTTAGTATATGTGCTGCCGAAGCAAGCCCTCACTTGCCCCCTTTTAAAAAACTTTTACAGTGTGTCATATCGTAGTGTTACATACATAAGGAGCAGTAGGTACGCACAATGTATTTGTTAATTCTTAAATGAGAATAGTGTTTTCCCAGTTTATTAACCAGTTTTTAGTCACTGAAACTTAGATGTTTTTTAAGACTTTCTATTTTTACTGTGAGACAGGGTCTCGCTCTGTCATACAGGCTGAAATACTACACTCCAATCATAGCTCACTGCAACCTCAAACTCCTGGGCTTAAGCAGTCCTTACACCTCAACATTTCAAGTACCTGGGACTACAGATAGATGTCACCACACCTACCTAATTTTTTAATTTTTCTTTTTTAGAAATGAGGTCTCACTATATTATGGGGACAGGTTTCAGGCTCCTGGCCTCTAGCAGTCCTCTCACCTCCTCCCCAAGTGTTGGGATTATAAGAGTGAGCCATTGCACCTGGCCAAAACTTTCTTTTCTCTATTGTAGTAAAGTATACATAAGATTTGCTGTTTTAACCAATTGCCATATTTAACAAATATGTACATTTCAGTGGCATTAAATACATTATAAAACTTAAATTTGTGTGCAAAAATGTTTTATCAAAAATATTAGCATTTTTGCTAATTATGAAAGCAGTTTAGAGCCGATTGTGTTTTAACTTCCCAGAGAGTTGACCATTCTACAAGCTTACAATTCTCCTTTGAAAGATTAAGGCAGAAAAACAAAATTGAAAATTAGTGCCTTGTTTCTGAAACAGACTTCTTTTCCTTCTCTTGAAAACTGACTTTCCATTTAAGTATCATTTTTAATTGTTTCAGTAACTATTTAAAATAATTTGAAGATGTCTTATTTATCTTTGACTACTGGTATTTCACTCAGAAAGTAAATGCTCAAATAAAGTTGTTAACACATATCTGGAGCTGAATGAGCTTTTCAGAAATGAAATAAATAGCCAGGCGTGGTGGCTCATGCCTGTAATCCCAGCACTTGGGAAGCCGAGACAGGGGGATTGCCTGAGCTCCCAAGTTTGAGACCAACCTGAGCCAGCTAGAGACCTCGTCTCTAAAAATAGCTGGGCATTGTGGCAGGTACCTGTAGTCCCAGCTACTTGAGAGGCCGAGGCAAGAGAATTGCTTAAGCCCAGGAGTTTGAGGTTGCTGTGGGCTATGATGCTACAGTACTCTACCTAGGGTGACAAAGTGAGACTCTGTCTCAAAAAAAAAAAGAAATGAAATAAGTATTCTCTGCTTCATAATTTTTTGCCTACTTGACTCTTAGATTGCTGTCCACATATCATTTGCAGTTTGATTTTTATAAATTATATTTTGCAATTAATTTTGCATTTTTTATAAATTACTTTGAGGGTGTATGATGTCTATTTTTTGTGAATTATGAACCTAGGAAATACATCCTGTCTGTTGATTACAGTATCTCTTTTCTAGGGAACAAAGAAGGAAGAGATTGAAGGTGAAGAGGAAGTGTCTGGTTTAATTCAGCCTGCGGAAGTGTTTGCTCCCAAGAGCCTGGTGTTGGTATCCAGATTAGATTATCCAGAAGTTTTTAGGGTAAAGAACTCATAGTTACCATTAATTTGTATTATTGAACCAAGATACAAATTCTTTGCATTCACAATATCATTAGATCGATTTAGGAGTTCACGAATAAAATAAAATGAACAGAAACTTAAAAAATACATTCATTGTGGGTGAAATGAATACCTGAATAAGTTAATGCAACTTCTTAAACTTCTAAGGACGTAGTCTTTAAATAGTTCCCATATTTATCAAATCCAAAATTTATAAATATTAAAGAAATAATTTGATTACTTACCAGTATGTAAAATGCATTAGCGATATAACAACTTTGCACGTGTTTATTCATTCACCTTATGTGGAATCAGAGTCAAGTAAATAGGGTGAATGTTTGAGATCTCAAATAATTCTGAACATACTTCTGCCAACGTAGCTTTAAAACATTGTTTACTTCCAGTCTTTTCTTCTTTTAGATACTCAGAATTTTCAAATGTAAGAAAAAAATTAATTTATTTATAAATATTTGTACTAATTTATAATATCTGTAAAGAGAAAGTAAATTTATATTTTTTAATTAACTTAGCATCAAGATTTCAATGACAGTGTTTAAGTCCTAACAAATACTAACTGATCAAAGTCATAAACCTCAATAAACTGAAAGACACATAAAGAATATATTTGATTTTCTGTTTTGCTGCCTATCTTCCTCTGAGCTCAAAGTGTTAATCTTATCATCTTGTCTCTATTTTTATATCCTTTATTATAATTTATATATTAAATTTTCCTATAGAATAAATGTTCTGGATTTGTAAGAACCACAAAACAAGGTAAAAATTTTAAATTTTTATTTTGAAATTTGGAGTTCTGCAAAGTAAATTGAGGCACAATTTTAGCCCTACAGATTTGCTACAGTAATCATCTCAGTACAAACAGCTGTTTTGCAAATTAGGGATTTCTGTTTTCTGTAAATTCCTCTCTGAAGCTCATTTGGAAGTTCTGGTTCTAGAGGAAAATTTAATAAACTTAATATTTGCTGCTTAAAATTTATTCTATGATCACTGTAGAATATACTTTACTAGGTTCAGAGAGAAATTTTCCTAAGAGCAGATGTCACAATTCATTTTTAGTGCTTTTTCCATGAAATAACTACATGTGTCTCTGTCTTTGCAGGCTTGCCTGGGTTTGATCTACACTGTGTATGTGGACAGTCTCAATGTCTCCTTGGAAAGTCTCATTGCAAACCTTTGTGCCTGCCTTGTCCCGGCAGCTGGAGGGTCTCAGGTAAATAGAATGGAAAGCGAGATGGAGAAGCACTGTCCCACTTCCCCTCCTCTCCAGTTAATGTAATTTATGAAGAAAAAGAAAAAGAATTCTTAAAATATTTTTGTTTTCACGAGGATCCTCGTTTATTTAAGCATTGTCCCTGTGGCCTGCCTTTTAGACACTCAAGATTCCATTCTTTTCCTAGTGTCACAGGGTTAATTTTAACACAGGGTTCATCTTTCACATAGCATAATCAGAAGTCATATTTTGTGTAACTCGAACCTCAGTTTATATTTTCTTAGAAATACACTTTATTAAGTTGAACTTTTAAATGTGCTCCTTTACCTTTCTTACTTTCCCATATAATTGTACCTCATTTTCATTAACTGAAGTTTAAAAATGTTTCAGTGATTAAAAATTGGAGGTAACATTAAGAAAACTCTTCAGTTCTCTGTAATATTATATCTAGTTATGAATAGATTCATTTATTTTGTATGTCTTGAGCTTTTCATATTTGTCTCTAATGTAGAAAAATAAGAACCTCAGCAGCTATGATTTATTTACGTTTCTAGGTCAGCCATCCTTTAAAAAAGAATAAACCGTCTGCCTTAAACCCTAAAAATGATTAATTGATAGTTTATATTGCTCATTCTTATACAATATTGGGGAAGAGGATAGCCCTTTAGAAATCACATTGTCTTCATTTGAAGATGAAGATAAAGATGTTGGGTGGCACCTGTGACTCAAATGAGTAGGGCACCGGCCCTATATGCTGGAGTAGAGCGCCGGCCCCATATGCTGGAGGTGGTGGGTTCAAACCCAGCCTTGGCCAAAAGCTGCAAAAAAAAAAAAAAAAAAAAAAAAAGAAGATAACGATGTTACTGATGGTGAAAGTGGCATCCCTTTTCCTCGTCTTTGCCTTTTGAACTGTCTTCTGTCTTTCATATATTCTTTCATCTTAAGTTTTTATCCTCTTTTTTAAACTCTATTCTTTCTTCATTTATTCTTCTCTCTGCTCCAAGGGCAGAATATTAAATGTGACTTTGGTCATAGTTGGGCCTAAACTGCGAAGTACCAGAATTGTTTTATGGGCTTTCACTGAAGTTGTTGACCTAACATCTTACTATCTTTTAACCAGTCATGATTATCACTGATTTTTGTGTCTCATCTCTACTGGATTGTCAACTTATGACTACTGAATTGTCTTGTACCATTTTCAGTTGCACAAAAAGTAACTTGAATACTGTGGGCTATCCAATCTTAGATGGTCATTTGCCCTAAAATTGAACTTCAGGAGGATTTTTATTTAAGAAAATGTCTGAAATCATGTGTGTGCATATGTTCCTCCCACTCTGCAGAAGCTGTTTTCTTTGGGAGCAGGAGATAGACAGCTGATCCAGACTCCTTTACATGATACTCTTCCCGTCACGGGCACCAGTGTGGCTCTCCTGTTCCAACAGCTGGGTATGTGTTCTCCCATGTTCAGTATCCTCTTGTTGAAACCTATAAAATAGGTTTATTTTAAGTTTACATCACCTAATCACATTTATCTGAATCAAGATAAAACAAATCATTTAATATTTGATATGTAAAGTGTATAATTTTGTGTGTCTTACTTTTACCAAGTGTTCATCCTTTTTAAAAATGTTTAACCTAGACTCCTTTTATTTTGGGGTCAATTAGAATTTCCTTATCACAGGTAATACAGAAAATAGAGGAACACATTGTACTATACCAAGAAAATGGAATTATCAAAATCTAGACTATTAGAAACTCCTTCAGACCAATGTCCCAGGTCCTTTAACAAATAAATTATGAGGAAAAGAAAGGAATGAAGGAGACACTTAGATTAAATGAGATTTGAAAGATATCCAGTTTTTTAATAGAGTGAGACTGGACTATAGTGGTCAGCGATACACTGTTGAGTGATAAAAACTGCCAATAGAAATTATCAGGAAAGCAAATAAATCAAAAGTCAGGATTAAACAGATGCAATGGCTCACATTAATCATCCCAGCATTTCTTTGGGAGTCTGCAGTAGGAGGATCCTTTAGGGTAAGGACTTTGAGATCAGCCCCGGCAATATAGAGAGACTCTGTTTTTGGAAAAAAAAAACAAAAACAGCCAGGCATGGTGGGGTGCATCTGTAGTCCTTGAGAGGCTGAGGTGGGAGGATTACTTGAGCCCAGGAGGCCTCACTTACAGTGAGCCATGATAGTACCACTGCACTCTAGCCCAAGTGACAGAGCAGGATTCTGTCTCAGAAGGAATGATGAATGAATGAATGTCGGAATGGTCACTTACAACAGTAGAGGGGATTATGACTGGGGGCACATGATAGGGACTTTCAGAGTTGCTGGCAAAAGTTCTCTTTCTTAATATGGGTGGTATTTGTTAGACAATTTATTCAGCTATGAATTTTTTTTTTTTTTTTTGCAATTTTTGGCCGGGGCTGGGTTTGAACCTGCTACCTCCAGCATATGGGCCGGCACCCTACTCCTTTGAGCCACAGGCACCACCCCTCAGTTATGAATTTTATTCTGTGGTTTTTCAATATGTCTTATTTTTACAATAAAATACTTTCTTAAAGTCATAAAATTATTTTAAGTCCTTTTGTACATACCTAACTTCTATTTAAAAAAAAAGAAAAAGAACCTGAATACAACAGCTTAAGCAAAGTCAAGATTTTGTCCTTTTCACATAACAAAAAGTCTAGGGGTAGGAGATCCAGGGCTGAACACATGTTGGTTCCAGTATGTCTTCAGGGATGGCATGGAAATGATTATGTAGCCTATAATATATAGGAGTTTCTCTAGAAGGGAGTTTTCCCTTACTAGACTGTGAGCTTCAAAAACTACCATGTCTTCTTATTCTTCGTGTCCTCTGTTTCTGGCATACTGCCTTAGGCACAAAAGGCATCAATGTTTATTGAATGAATGAATGAATGAATGCTCTAGCCATAAAGAAATGGCATTCATACCTTGAAGATTTTTCTGCATTTGAAGATCAGATCATGTTTTACTCTCTTTGTAAATGACTCTTTGTCATTTTAGTCTCTAGTAGTTCAGCTTTATTATCTATTGCTTGTAGATTCTAAATTCGCTTTTTCAGGAAAAGAATAGGGAAGATAAAGGAAGGAAGCAGAATGAATAGCTACAGTGCTGTGTGCAGAGTTGTGGTTTCAAAGCATGTGGTAGTAATAACTCTATCTAAAGACATTCTCTTATCATCCGTCATTGTGGTTGGACGTTGTCAAAGACCAATATTAGACCATTATCAGAGTTCACTACCTGGGTTGGGGGTAGGGTAGTGGTGGTGGATTTTACAAACACAGACAGGAAGCAGATAAGACTGTAAAATTCTGTTGTAGCCTTGACTAGTTTTCCTGCAAAAGATCTAAATGTAAGGATAGCATTTCCTCTGTTGTTCTCTCTAAGAATTGTTATGGTAATGATTTTGTTTTTCACAGTTTAAAAAGTTCTCTTGGTAATTGCCTGAAATAATTATGAGAACTTCTGCCGTTCCACGCTTCATTCTACATAATTTCTTTTATTTACCATCTTTTTTGTTTGTCTTTTTTCTTTTTGCCGCATTGGTAAATTATTTTTATTTACCTAAAGATTTGTGTTTTTAAGTATGGTTTTTTTCATGTTAATAAGGGATTGGTTTTTTATAGCCCCTCTGATATTTTAATCTATCTATACCTGTTTCAGTTGGACATCCTTGACCCCATATAATCTTGTAAAATTCTCTGATGTCTTTTGTCATATTTGTTCACCTGTGTTTTGGATTCTAATCAGCATACTTGTTTAGAACACTTGCTCCCCAGTTTTCGCACTAAACTCTTTAATAGACATTATTAAAGTTAGTTGTATGGTCCTGGGCCTTCTGCTATCATCACTCAGTTCCCATATTAGACCCTATTCATCTTGTGCTGTCTGTGTTTATACCTTTTCATGTGCGTACTTTCTTTTTGCTTGTCCATATTGAGCCACTTTTTGTTTAGACATCAATGGGTCAATATTTCTCCATTAATATTCTCTGACATTAAATGTGGATTTTTAAAGTTGTTATATAGATAAGGAATTATTTTTCAGTTTATCTTAAAAAGATTAATTTTGTAGGTAATCTTTAAATGTCAACAGTAGCTATTCCTCACTATTCAGAAAGTTAGTTCTGTTTTTAAATGTTATAACGAGGGTGGTGTCTATGGCTCAAAAGAGTAGGGTGCTGGCCCTATATGCCAGAGGTGGCGGGTTCAAACCCAGCCCTGGCCAAAAAAATGCAAAAAAAGAAAAAGGAAGGGCGGTGCCTGTGGCTCAAAGGAGTAGGGTGCTAGCCCCATATGCCAGAGGTGGTGGGTTCAAACCCAACCCTGGCCAAAAACTGTAAAAAAAAAAAAAAAAAAATGTTATAATGGAAAACTTTTCCTATTCTCACTTTTATTTCCCCCTGGAAAAACTTCCGTCTATAATTACTATGTAATTGTACTGCTACAAACTTCTGTAGGAACATTAAAAGTAATTCATATCCCTAAAAATAGAAAGATGAAAATATTCAAGAGGTAAGAATGAAAGCTTAGGATGTGCAAAATTGTTTTCTTTAGAAAGAAAATGTTGATTTGTAAATTCATGAACCACCCAATTTGTGTCAATTGTAGAATGATTTTTGTCCTTTAAACTTAAATGAGCAGAATCTAGTGCCTGGAGTCATGTTCCTGTGTTCCTTCAGTTTTCTTAGCTTCTTCATATAGCTCTGTTACTTGTTTTAGTCTTATTCTAACTTATAATGGGAAAAATTTTTTTTTCTCAATATATGATTTTAAAGAAAACCTGCTTATTTTTCTTTTGTTAATCTGTCTTTTGTTATAGGGATCTGTCCCAACTACAAACATATAAGAGTTAAAAAAATTTAAAGAAAATATATTTTCTCACCTATAATTTTGAAAAGATAGTTTGCAAATTTGAGTATGTAAGAATTTAGACTATTACTATGAATAGCATAGTACCCCAGGTAAAAAAGGAGGAAATAGGAAATTTGGCGTTTTACTACAACTGTATCTATGATGAATTATTTTTTGATAGTTTGAATGTCATCTTTGTTCTTTGAGTATTTGAAACATATTAAATCTCTGTGCTAGTCCCTTCTGGAGCACTTTAGTAAAAAAAAATGCTTACCATGCAAACTCTACTTTAGAAACCTAAAGATCTCTAAAGACCCTTCCAATTTAATTACTTATATTAAATAGCACAGGAATTTCTAATAATGCCCCCATTTTGCCCACTTACTTACATGATGGCAGAAGTATTATTTTTCATCAGCTATTTACAAAACTGTTATCATGTGCCATGTCCTGAGCTAGTCTTTGGGATATAAAGATGGACTAAATTACAACCCTATCTCAGATGTACTTTTAGCCTAGTGGAGACACAGTTATGATTTTTAAATTATAATGCAATATAACTAGCACAATAATAGAGATACCAAGAGCAAACTCTTACTAGCCACAAAGATAGAAGAAGAGCATTCCAGAAGGAAAAGCATGTGCAGAGTACAAGAAGCCAAAAGGCCTTCAAGGAATAGTAAGATGTTTGGTGAAGCCTGAGAACAGGACTGTAGGGAACAGTCAGAATGTTATTAGGAAATCGGCTGCTTTCTATTTCAAAATTAAAGATTTAATATTTATGCTAGTTCTGTAAAGGAACCATTGTAAAAAATACCAAAGACTGACATCATTGGCCAATTAAGTCCTTGTTAACTAACCTACTGTGCTTGCTAGAATCACATGTAAACAAAATATATAGTTACTACATGGTTTGAGGACAGTTCAAAAAGATCCTGGTTCACAGCTGTCCTCCTTGTTGTCCTTTTATGGGACTTAAATGCCATTATTAAATCGCTCTATGTTTGTACTGAGTTATCCTTTATTGAGTGCCAATGCCCTGAGGCAAGATAGCCAGTAAATGTTCTTTATTGTTACAACATTCTCTTGTCTAAAATTTCACTCTGCTCTTTCAGCATCTTAGAGGTTAATACTTTTATAAAATACGGCTATTTAGACATTTATGTGTCCCGTTCTCCAATGGTAGCAGGATAAAGAACACTCGTCTTCTGTAGCACTTTGGACTTATCTCTGTTCTGTTGTGGTTTTAGCTACTATTTACCAATCTGCTGTCTTCACTGAATTGTAAGCTCCTTAGAGCCTGCCTCAGACTTCTTTATGTCCATCTCTAGGAGTTAATGGTTTTTAATATATCTCAGTAATTCCATAATGATTTAATAGTAGAGGAAGGAAGGAAAGGGGGAAAAGAAAGAAAGAATTTTTAATTAAAAAATGGTTTCTGCCAAGACAATTCCCATCTGTTTGTTTTTGGCATAATTCTCCTATTACTTTAGACTATCTTGCCCAAATATTGTTTACTCCCAAGGCTTCTCTTGCTTCCTGATTCTTAAATTTAAATTGA